CACCACATAAGCAAAAAGAAAAAAGCTGGAAGTGGTGCTGTGGCTCAAGTGGTAGAGTGCTAGCCTTGAGCTGAAGAGCTGAGGGACAGCGCCTAGGCCCAGAGTTCAGGCCCCAAGACCGGACCCCCCAAAAAAAATGGCAAAGATACTGGGCACTGGTGGCTCACATCTATAATCCTACTCAGGAGGCTGAGGTCTATGGATCTCAGTTCAAAGCTAGCCCAGGCAGGAAAGTCTGTGAGACTCTTATCTCCAATAAATCTCTAGAAAACCAAAAGTGGTGCTGTGGCTTGAGTTGAAGAGCTGAGGGACAGCGCCCAGGCCCAGAGTTCAAGCCCCACGACTGACAGAAGGAAAAAAAAGGAGGCAATGATGACATCTCTATCATATATTTGCAATAATAATCATAATGGTAACGATAATGATGATGATAAAGGTGTCTTGGCAGCACAGCTCTGGTGGCCACTGCCAAGACGAAAGGTGACAAGGGCTGTACACAGCGCGTGTGCAAGCGCTTCACCCACGAAGCCATGCTCAGTGGGTGCCCACAATGACCCTGTGACATCCTGTTGTCCCCTCCGCGGCACAGACCAGGAAACCGAGACACCGAGCCGGAAGCTATGTGCTGAAGGCAACAGAGAGCAGCGGAGCAGCTCTGCGGGGAGGTGAGGGGTCAGAGCCCTCCTCAGCCCTTGGCGAGGCCGCAGCCGGGGCCTGGGTCCTCCCCGCCCCCTCCTCCCAGAGGATGTCCTCACCTGCGGCAGGCCGGTGAGCAGGCTGGCGCGGCTGGGAGAGCAGCTGCTGACCGAGGTGAAGGCGTTGCGGAAGAGGAGGCTGCGCCGGGCCAGGGCGTCCAGGTGAGGAGTGGAGATGGCGCTGTTGTTGTAGGCTCCGCTTTCAAAGCCCCCATCGTCGGCTGAGGAAGGCGGAGACAGAGGCTGGGATCACGTGGGATCTCGAGAGCTGGAATCACTAGACACAGCACAGCGGGCCCCAGCGGCTCACACCCGTAATCCTAATGACTTCACGAGGCTGAGATTTGAGGGTCAAGGTTCAAAGCCAGCCCAGGCAGATCTGTCTGTGAGACACTGATCTTCAATTAAGCAGCAAAAAGCTAGAAGTGGAGGTGTGGCTCAAGTGGAAGAGTACCAGCGTTGAGCAAAAAAGCCAAGCCAGAGTGGGAGGTCCTGAGCTCGCGTGCGCGCGCGCGCACACGCACGCGCGCATACACACACACACACACACATGTACACATGAGACGCAGCAGGGGGGAGCAGGGGAGGCTGCTGCAGAGGCACGGGCCAGCAATGCTCAGAACGGGGAGGCAGCCGTGGACAGATACCTGAGCAGGGGACAAATGACACCAGGCAGGGGACAGGGCTGTGGACAGACGGGCAGACACCCAGGCAGCATGAAACCTGGGTGGAGTCAGCATGCAGGAGCCATGACCCGGCGGGCTTGGTGCACAGCACGTGATACTCGAGTGAGTCCATGACCACAAGCGGACATGGGACTCGAGCGGGAACGAACCCCAGCTGCTGTGCTACCTCGACAGGCATGCTAGCAGGTGGCCACACTACTGGTCAGTTCCAGGCTCTGCAAAAACTGCCCAGGCAGCTGCTGGGAGAGGTGTGCCCAGGACACTGCCCACCCCTGCCCCTCACTGCTGCCCGGCACAGTCCCCTGCCAAAGACTTGGAGGATTTCCCCATGCCACCCTGTGAAGTACACAAAGCCAGAGAGAAGGGGCGAGGCACAGTGCCCACGATCACACAGCTGGGCAGCAGGGAAAGGGGGTGGCCTCTCAGCTCCTAAAGCCACGCCAAGCTGCTTCACTCTGCTCTGGGGCCAGGGCCCCCCTGTCCCCCAGAAATCAGTGGGAACTCTCAGAACAATGTTCTGCCCCCCCCCACAGACACTGAACAAAGAAAGGGCTGGTGGGGGGGAATGACTGCCCCCGCCCAGCTGGAGCCACTGGGCTCAAGACCACAGAGCAAGCAAGGGGTGGGGTGCTGGGGTCCGGCCATTCGGGGCGCATCCTGCAGCAGGCCCTAGCCAAGTCTACTTTGGGGAGTCTCAGCACTTGGCTCCTGCCGTGCATGGAACTGTGTCTTTCCAGAATTCACCTGCTGGGGTCTTTTCTGAGGCTGTGAGGGCGGGGCTGGGACAAGGAGGATGGCGGCGTTCCCCAGCTCCCTGAGGAAACCGTGGAGCAGGCCATTCGCAAGCCAAGAGGGGGGCCTCACCAAACCCCACCTTGCCGCCTCTCTGTCTCCAGCAATGCCAGGAGGCCGGGGTCTGTGCCTCTTGGTGACAGCAGCCTAAGCTACGCCAGGGCAAAAGCTGGGGCTGCATGTCTTGGGCTCTGGAAAGTTCTAGCACTCATCCTGTTCCAGACTGGCTCTGGAAAGGTCTGGAAGGATGGAAGGACTTTCACAAGGGCCCCTGGAAGCTGAGGGTGCGTGTGCGTGTGTGTGCGTGACAAGCGGGCTAAAGCCGTCCAGAGGCCACAGTGAACCAGAAAGTGGGGGTCCGGCAGAGGTCCCCCGCTCTGTCACCCGAACAGGAAGTCCTGGGAGCGCTGGGGCGCTCGAAGAACTTGGGGTTCCAGGGGGAGGGGGGGGCCGAGGGCCACAGGCCGCTCCGGGGAGCGGAAGACAGGAGGTGGCGCTGACGGGGCCGGGCCGCCCCCGACGGCAGAGCCCGGCGCGCTG